GTATATTCAAATAAAAAAAAGAAATCAAAGCCAGCGGACTGTATAAAACTCTATTTTAAAAAGCAGTGAAATTAAACACAAACTTAAATATTAGTTACTATGAAACGACACCAAAAGAAAACTATAAACAAACCAAAACAAAAACGTCGATTCTAAAAAAAAAGCTACTGACCGAAAGCAGTAAAATAATTTCATATATATGCCACGTTATAAACATGAAAATATATTAAACATAAAAATATTGACATATATGTCAATGGTATAAAAACAATTCAATAAAGTCAACTCAAAAATATATCCGGTAATAAAATGCACATTAAATTAATAATAAAATTAATACAATTAGTAAACTCATAAAAAGACAAAAAGAATAGTGAAATTAGTACAATCTAATAAGTTGTCAATTAATAATAAATTAATAAAATTATTAATGCAAACAAGTCCATAATCATTACGGATGAAGTCAAATATCTGTTAGCAAACGTAAATATTCTCTATGGGCGACACAATGAAATATAAAGTTCAGCACAATAAAATAAAGTCGCAAACAAATGTAAAAAGTATGGTTTATTCGTCTTCCGGGTTTGGACCGTGTCATTTGTGAGTGACCCAAAAGTGGGTTCATCTCGACGTTTCGCTACAATTGTATGTAGCTTCTTCAGGAGAACAAAGAAAAGAAAAAAGAAAACAAAAGAACAGGAAGATGGGTAGTTAGCAACGGTAACTCAGTTACTCAACGCAACCAGAGGCGAATACTAACTACCAAGATGGGCATTTGGTCACAGTAACTCAACTACTCAACGCAGCCAGAGGTGAAAACCAAATGCCAGGACAGGGATTCACGTCCAACAGCTCAGAACACTAACGCGTCGAGAGGCGGGGAGTGAATCCGACGATTACTCCGCTACCGCTCTATTTATAGTCGCGGTGCCTGTCGTGTCGGGACGTATCGGCACACTTCGTGGCGCGAACGTCAAGAAGCGCGCGCTGGCCAATCATGTGGCTGCATCGTGGTGGCGGGACCGGACGGTGGCTCTAGACTGAGATTCCAGATGGGAGACAAGTAGTATCCTTCCTCTCGATTGATATTATGGGGATTTTTTCGGATCTCTAGAGATTCGCGGATTTTCCTGGAATAAAAGAAGGGGCTCTTAGAAATAATATGGGTTTTTTCGAACAATATGGAATGACCGGTTTCTTGGCAGTGTTCGGCAACTGCAGAATGGGAGAAAAGACCTGATCGAATGCATCTTTGATGCTCTTGAATCCGAGTTTTGACGGAACGACCAGTTTCGCCAATATACACATGTCCACATGAACAAGGAATAGAATAGACACCACAGGAAGATAGGGGCGGTAATGGGTCCTTAGGAGAGGGTAGATATTGTGAGATTTTCTTGGGTGGTCGAAAAGTAGTCCTGATACCTTCTTTGCGAAGAATTTTGCCAATCCTATCAGTGACATTTCGAATATACGGAAGAAAAGCCACAGGAGTATTACCCGAAGATTCTGAATTTGTTGTCCTAGGGTGTAAAGGGGGATGTAGATGTCGGTGTGTAATATTTTGAATTGTGGACTTGGAGTAACCATTGGCGACAAGGGTTTTTTGCAGATGGCCAAGTTCTTCTCTAAGGTTGTCGGGTTCAGAAATCGAAATGGCCCGATGGATGAGAGAGTTGATCACAGAATTCTTTTGGGCAGGATGGTGGTGTGATGAAGCATGTAGGTAACGATTCGTGTGAGTCTTTTTTCTATTCGATTCGAGTAGAAAAAAGACTCACACGAATCGTTACCTACATGCTTCATCACACCACCATCCTGCCCAAAAGAATTCTGTGATCAACTCTCTCATCCATCGGGCCATTTCGATTTCTGAACCCGACAACCTTAGAGAAGAACTTGGCCATCTGCAAAAAACCCTTGTCGCCAATGGTTACTCCAAGTCCACAATTCAAAATATTACACACCGACATCTACATCCCCCTTTACACCCTAGGACAACAAATTCAGAATCTTCGGGTAATACTCCTGTGGCTTTTCTTCCGTATATTCGAAATGTCACTGATAGGATTGGCAAAATTCTTCGCAAAGAAGGTATCAGGACTACTTTTCGACCACCCAAGAAAATCTCACAATATCTACCCTCTCCTAAGGACTCATTACCGCCCCTATCTTCCTGTGGTGTCTATTCTATTCCTTGTTCATGTGGACATGTGTATATTGGCGAAACTGGTCGTTCCGTCAAAACTCGGATTCAAGAGCATCAAAGATGCATTCGATCAGGTCTTTTCTCCCATTCTGCAGTTGCCGAACACTGCCAAGAAACCGGTCATTCCATATTGTTCGAAAAAACCCATATTATTTCTAAGAGCCCCTTCTTTTATTCCAGGAAAATCCGCGAATCTCTAGAGATCCGAAAAAATCCCCATAATATCAATCGAGAGGAAGGATACTACTTGTCTCCCATCTGGAATCTCAGTCTAGAGCCACCGTCCGGTCCCGCCACCACGATGCAGCCACATGATTGGCCAGCGCGCGCTTCTTGACGTTCGCGCCACGAAGTGTGCCGATACGTCCCGACACGACAGGCACCGCGACTATAAATAGAGCGGTAGCGGAGTAATCGTCGGATTCACTCCCCGCCTCTCGACGCGTTAGTGTTCTGAGCTGTTGGACGTGAATCCCTGTCCTGGCATTTGGTTTTCACCTCTGGCTGCGTTGAGTAGTTGAGTTACTGTGACCAAATGCCCATCTTGGTAGTTAGTATTCGCCTCTGGTTGCGTTGAGTAACTGAGTTACCGTTGCTAACTACCCATCTTCCTGTTCTTTTGTTTTCTTTTTTCTTTTTCTTTGTTCTCCTGAAGAAGCTACATACAATTGTAGCGAAACGTCGAGATGAACCCACTTTTGGGTCACTCACAAATGACACGGTCCAAACCCGGAAGACGAATAAACTATAATTCTGACTCTGGCCGTGGAAGCCTACGATTTCAAATGTAAAAAGTTCAAAACCGCGACACAGTATGTGATATTGGGTCACAAAATATGTACTTAGCCCATCCAACAACAAAATTATGGTGTATATATTGTGTATATGTACTTTACCAATAAAGATAGCACCCCGGCTATCGCAAAAGATGTCTTTGCGGACGAACATCAGCAACCACAAATTTGACGTCTATCTCGGTCGCCAGACCGATACGAAGAAGTCAGGTACTCTTAACCCAAACGCACATACACATTTTCATCGTTTAAGATAAAACTCGACTCTGATTTTGTAGATGGAATTCAAACCCTTAACTTATACACACACGTGTGGTGATATTTCGCAGATGCCTCGTTCTTTTAAATTAGTTCTTAAAACAGCTGTATTTTTCGTATAGGCAAATCTCAGTTTAAATATACAGGGAGAATCGAAACTATCAAAAGTCTGTTATTCTTTTACAAATGTTTATATACAGTTGCGAAACTGCAACAAATATCTCGGACATATTACACGTGGAGAGAAATACACCTTGCTCCAACTGATTATGCAGGGAAAAATCTAAGAAACATAGGGAGGAGTAGAATATCATGGCTGCGCAACCTGAGAGAGTGGTACGGATGTACACCAAATCAACTTTTCGAGCAGCCGTCTCATAAGTCCGAATAGCTATGATGATTGCCGACCTCCGCCGCGGAGATGGTACTTGAAGAAGAAGATAAGATGTGATGACAACGCACGCCACACACACGAGTAGTAATACAGTCTGGTGGAATAACATAGTAAAAAAGCTAAGGTTGGAAGTCCGAAGACTATTTAATAAAGCCAAAAGTAACGAAGGCTGGCTAAGTAACGGGCGTAGCTAATTCATGGAGAGAATTTTGGCATGCTCTCGAATTCATAAGGATGGTGTTTCTGGCAAAGGATGGTGCTACCATTAAAGAAGTAGGTTTCATAAAGAAGAATACATATGCAAGTTCGTTAAAACCAGTAGCATGGAAGGTCGTACCTGAATTATGGCAAAAGGTTAAAGTCATATAATTGCCTTAGACAAAGTATCAGACCTAATACCAAAGTCATATAGACCAGTTTATTAAAAACATATCGCTTTTTCTATTAAAAACGCTATAAAGGCTTCTGGATAGGTACATAGACTCGAAGTACTAAAAAATAATCCTGTAAGCAATCGTCAATATGCATATCAACCTGGTAAATCCACGGATCAACGTTGTATGATCTAAATAGGCCCATCTCAAAGTCAATGGAGGGCAAAGAGATTGCCGCTTTTTTAGATATTGAAGGAGCATTTAATAATGTAACTATCAACACTTTGATTAAGGTCATGAGTAAACGAGGCACACATGCGGTAATATGCAGATTAATAAGTGCATTTCTGGAGAATAGGATACTAATATCCACTCTGGGTAAAACCACCATCAAAGCAGGAGCAAGAACACAAGGTAGCTCGATTTGGGCTATAATACCATTGGAGAGAAAGAGAGATAAAGGTACAAGAAAAACACAGATGACTTCATACCAAAAATACTTTGAGCTCTTAAGTTCCATAATAATGATAAGTAAAAGGCATATGACATTCATTTGTCATCGAACCAGTACCCTTCTTCTTAAAAAGCAAACTTCATACTAGGAAGATATTAGGTACATATTCGTCGCGCCTATTGGCGCAATTGTTACGGATGAAAGTCAGGTGATAGGATTTCGTCAGCAGAATGCAATGGCAATGAAAAAATAAATATTTTTATATACCTTTAACTAATCAGTGTTATAGTTACGTTTGCTCTGAAATGGAAATCTAAACGTCAAAATAAACGTATTTTCAACTGAAATTATGTGTTTCCATTAAAAATTAATAAATAACGGGAAAAATATATAAAAAATATACTGTCTATGTTTTTTTTTCGTTAGAATATGAATTAGATTCCTTATGAATTAGATCCTAAATTTCCCTCCTAAACGAAATGATTTAGTAACTTTTTTACTATTAAAAATGTTTTACCTGCTCTGCAACGTCAACGGCATCTTCTTTATCCGAATGAGCATCCTTCTGATTTTCTTTTTCTCTTTGTGTCGCCTGTAATTGTTGCATATACTGAATGTAGTGTTGTTCTTGTAGCTGTTTTATCAAAGAACCTTGTTTTTCGGGGTCGCCTATAATGTCAACAATGAATATCGTAAAAATAACAACAAATACGAGTTATTCAATCATTTATTTTATTAAAGTGTTTATTAAACTAAACAAATTACAACGAATAATAACAATAACTTACTCAGCAATTTTAACGTTATATTAACAACTATTTCTTGTAATAATTTGTTACTACAAAGTTATTGGATCATGTCAAGTTGCAAATGATGAAGTTTTATGACTTGACGTTCTAATATAAATATGGAGATATAGTCATTTGATTTGATAATTTTATGAATTGCTATCGTAAATAATTGTTAATAGAACAGTATTCAACGTCATAAACAACAATTTTATGAAACTGTTATTAAACGTTTTTTGAACTTAAAATTTCAAATATGGATATCAGAGTTGTACATTTTATGGTCACAATTATATTTGCATTATATTAGTATGTTAATCTCGGCAAAAATAATAAACCATAAATATTGACGTGTGATGATTATTTACGATTTTGGATGTAGGCGAACAGTAGAGAGATAAGCTTGCTTTGACTGTTGATGATAAAGCACTAACCTGTGTCAACATGTTTCGCAATAGATGGTTACTTTTACATTACATCCGATAAATGCAGGATCGGAAGGTCCCAATTTGTCATATATTTTTGCTGCATTTGGGGCCGAATATCGGTAATAAAGGGGAGAGTAACGCCTCCCAAATCATTTATCATCTCTATTTATGGGTATAGATTAGTGAGTTTATGTACCCCCACAAAAATAGTCCAATGATGTTAAATCATACAATCTTGGAGGTCACAGACACAAAATACAAAATTATGCACCCACCAAAGCAATAAATTGATTGTAACACCATTGTGAAACCACACTTTCCCCACATCAAGAAAATTTAAGTCAGAAAAAAATCATTTAAGTCATTTTGATCATGTTTCTACGGTGGACACAATTGACTGTAACACTCTGGCCGGCACTGTTTTTGTAAAAGTAACAACCAATTATTCCACCAATCCATAAAGCACACCAAAGTCAGTTTTTCTGGATGTAATGGGCTCAACAATTGCTTAGGGAATATTTTCAGTCCAAATGTTTCTATTTTGCTCATAGCCATACACATTGAACCAAGAATGAGCTTCATTGATGAGCAGAATTGTCTTGTAAAAATCGAAATCAACATCAATTTAGTTTTGTGACCAATATTACTTAGGTGGTTGTGATCCTAAATCTTCCAGAAAATGGATAGTCACAGATTCAATTGTTATGCACAATACCAGATGGATTTATTAATACAGACCTTCTTCAATACTGTGATTTAAAGCAACAATAAGTTTTTCGGAACTCACTGTATGATGTATCATTCAATACATGTTATCAATTAGAGTACTTGCTCCTAATATGGGCAAAAAGATTGAAGCATAAAAAGTATTAAAATTTAAGTAAACAAACCTGGATATTGCTGCTCTGCATACTTCCTAAACTGTTCATAGGTTTGTTGATTTAAAGCTAATTGGATCTGTCTCTTAATTGCCTCCTGTCTCCAAATTTCCTCTTGGAGTACTTTTTCTTCCTCCAATTTCTTCAGCTTTTCTTCTTCTTCCACCTTTTGCCTTTCCTCTTCTTGCTGACTGTAACATTTTTATACATTTCATCATGTATATAATATGAAATATAGAACAAATGATGTTGATATAATAAGTTAATGTAAATTTTAAAAACATTACTAAACTACATTTTTCACAGCAAAATTAAAAACATGGCCCACTCTTCCAACCAAAACATCATTCTTAAAGCACTGAAATCCGGAAAAATAGAAAGTAATCATGAGCTGGTTTTGTGCAAAACTCAAATAAAAACATGCATTTAATATAATAGAAACATAAAAGAACAATACCTACCAAGAAAGTCTAAAGATTGTAGGACTACTCAACAAGATACCAAAAGAGAGTAACATAAAGAAGCAAAAACATATGTATAGGTATATACACATAAAAATATGATAGTCAAAGAAAGTTGCACAAAAACTAAAGATCTTAGACCTGACTAGTCTAAAAGAAATTGAAATAAAAAAAGAATGGCAGAATAAAAGAAAATATAACAATAGCCACCTGGAATATAACATCACAAAGTGGAAAAGCAGTGGAGTTAAAAAAGGAATGGACTGTGTAATATTAAAACTTTAATCATAGTGTAACAGACAGACAAACACTATATTATTCTGGTACAAAAGCACCACAGAGAGCAAAGGAAGAAGTGGGAATAATATTAATAGATGAATTAAACAAAGTAATCAAATTTGAAACGATAGACTTAAGAAAAAATAAACATAGAATTATAGTTGGAAGAGAGAATCAATCTAATACAAATATAGATAGATAGAACTTTATGAAAGACTAGACTAATTTTACATATAGCAAAAGCAAGTAACACAGAAATAATAATCATGCTTCTGAGCTAATGGTTGCACAAGCACAATTACACCATTTGGAATATGAATTGATCGACCAGCCACTGTATGATATATTTATCTGGTTAAATGACAATTTCCTGTTCAAAACTTAAAAAATAGCCCTGCAGCTGATATTTTGGAATTAATAATGAGCAATATTTTATCAAATATACTGAGCCAAACTAAGTATATTTAAAAGTAAATGAGAAAAATAAAAATCTTGTATAAATTCATTCATGCAGGTTAATTCAAATCATCAATAGATAGAATAGAAAAACATTCAGGAATTGAAGAAATACCAGATAAGAGAAAAAGCACTAACTTTCTATATAAAAGTAATACTATAGGAGCAAAAAGTATATTTACTTCTTAAATATATATGATAAACAAGAAATAAATAGATTTTTTAGGAAAAATACAATAGAATCATATCTATATCATAACTGTAAATCATAATGAGATTAATAGTAAGTAATAGTGGTCAGTTTATTACTCATAAAGCAAAATATCCATTTAAGAATAGCTACTAAGTCAGATGTAACAACATTCCTAGTAGTAATATCACCCTCAGCTACACATGCGCGTGTAGTCTTGTTTAAACTGTTGTAATATGCATGCACGGCTTCCTTCTCTTCTGTTTTTCTTTAGCACTTTGTCTGCTGTCTTACCTTTCCAGGATTTCTTTACCTTTTATTATTATAGTTATTGGTCCCAGGATTTCTTTGTATTAATTTTCTCCTCTTCCCGCCACTTCCATTATGTTATTCGCCCTAAATTCTCCACCCTTTCTATAGCTCCGCCCTCTCGTTCGTGAACCTTTTGAAATCGAACACACACTCCCGCTGAGTCATTAACATCGCAGTCAACATAGTTGCCATCTTCTTGCTTCCCTATCCTTACCAGTTAAGCTCTGAAAGAGCCGTGCCCTGTAAGGAACTGTGTTAAAAAGTAGTTAGTCTTCCTGCGGATGTGTCTTACAGAGTCTCTCATGTCCGATATGAGTGTTTTTGTCTATTCAGCCCTATGTTTTCCCACTCTTCTTGTCATTTCAGGTTCACACCTCTCTCCTCTGCTTTGTCGTTTTCACTCATATCGTACGTGATTGCTCTTTCTCTCACTAGTAGGTGAATTGGTGACACCCCTTCATCCATTATGGGCCTATTCTCATAGTGCTCTACTAGTATGACTAGGTTGCATAAGCAATTGCCTGTATTCCCTCTCTTAGGTTTATCTCCAATATATCATTATAGAGTACATTCCATAGTAACGGATCTAAGACTGAGTCCTGTGGCACTCCCGCAGATGTCTTCAATATGTCATCTTTAATTATATTAATGCTCCTATCTGTAAAATAATTCCTCACCAAGTTCTGCAGGTATGAGGATATTTCCATTTCTTTAAGAGTCTGATGATTTCCCCCAGCTCATGTTGTTGAATGCATTCTTGATGTCCAGGAAGAAGACTACTATCTACCTACCCCTGCATGATTTTTTCTCCCTTACTAACCTGTTTATGGCAACTATGGCAGATCTACCTTTTCTGAACCTATACTGGCGAATCAACAGGCATCTCTTTTCTTCTATTTCTTTTTTGAGTCTTTACTTAATGAGGATTTTGAATAGCTTGTATGGTGTATTTAGCAAGCATATTGGCCTAAAAGCACCTGGTTCTTCCATTTCTTTCCCAGGTTTGGAGATGAGGATAAGGTTTGCCACAGTTTTTAATGCAATTATTCAACCTCACTTTGCTTTTTGCTTGTCACTTATTTTTCTCAGCAATTTAAATCAATCGGGTCAGTTGCAAAAATTACAAAATCGTGGAATGAGAGTCATTCTTGGTGGAAACAAATATACCCTATGGCAACAATGCTTAGCATGCTGCAGTGGATTTTAGTTCAATAAAGGGTCTTTTACCTTACAATAGTGTTCATTTATAAAATTTTAAATAATTTGGCCCCTGCTTACTTTTGTGGGTTTATTACACGGAATTGTGATATTCACAATTACCCTACTCAAGGTAAGTGCAATTAACACATCGTGAAAACAAAAAGAACTGCTTCAAAAAACTCTTTGTTGTTCAAGGGTTTTGATCTTTTTAATAAGCTTCCTCGAACAGTTAAAAGTTGTTCATCTGTACAAATGTTTAAAAGCAAATTAATGGACCATATTAAAAGCACCAATAGTTAGGTAGTTGTTTTGTAGTCATGTTTTATGTTATATATAATTGTTTTATATTTTTTTATTTTATTAATTGTTATTTTTATCTTATTATCTGTTCATGTTATAAATTGATTACTTTTGTATCTATTAGGGCTTTCCCTATTTTTGAATGAATAAACTTCTCACTCACCGCCCTAATTCTTCTAAATTGGGCTAAATTTAACAGAAATTCATTTTCTTATTATTGTCTACTTGCCTTGTCTAGTTAAGTTTCCAAATGAATGAATACACAATACAATGACATAATTATTCACTTATTAACATTTTGCTTGACTTGACTTCATTAAAAAAATTTTTATTTAATCTTTAACATATATGTAATTTGGTCATTTCAATATATTTGCATTAACATATTCAAATTATGTAAACCTTCAAATCAATTTAGAATTCAAAGTTCAAGTGATATAATATCAAGTTAGATATAGTACAGATTATAAAAAATTAGATATATTTCATTTCAAATTTAGACCATTCTTTTGTATTCATCATCATGAGCATGACATATTTGAATATTAGTTCCTTTACCAGTTGTACTTCAGCCAATTGACTTATGGTACATTTTCTGTCTATGCAAGCTTCAAGCTAAGGTTTTCTATAGTTAATAATTACTTACTTAGACAGGCCCAACAGCTTTATGTGCCTGCAAAGCTATATGACAGCTCAGTTAAAATAAAAATTTCTGGTGTCTACTAGAACCTAACCCAGGCTGTCTGTCTGAGTAAGTCAGTACATAGGTACTGAGCTATGGCTGCCACTTTTGTTGATCTTGGCTAGTTTGACAATGTTCTTCCAGTTTTTTTCCTAGCTGGGTCATTCTTCATACTCTTACAATAGATTTCTTACTACTGACAAGCCACCTGTACAATTTGTCGATTTTTTTTATGTTCTGTTTCTTTTTTTAACAATTAAAAATATATATGGGATTTTTTTATTGCTTTAAGTTTAATGATACATTATATCAATTCTGATGGGAATCCCAGAGTTATCTGCCATTTTAAGTTGTACAATAATAGACAATAATAGTACCACAACAATAATATGAAAAGCAAATAATTTAATCTTGTTAAAGGATGATACTGAGAATAAGTAGGAATACAGACTTATGGGGAATTATTTTAAATGGAACAATAAATTCTAGATTATCTACATTTAAGAATTACACAAAGAAAATCATACAACAATTACCCATTTATAAAAAAATACTAAGTTTACTACAACATATAGAAAATAATGTAAGATTTTGTCAAAAATGTTTTACTGTTCATCATGGAATTAATTATATGAATAAAAAGTCCATATTTCTTTGCTTTTGTCATTTTTGATATATAAAATGTGTTTTATTTTATTGTTACTGTTCCTAGTAAGCCAAGGCAAGTATAATAATAACCCATAGCAAAGTCTAACTAACATTCCAAACAAAAAAGTTATTTTATGATAAATATATTGTACTTACGCTCGCCTTTCTTGTTCCTTCTTTTCTCTCCTGTGTGCCTCTATGTATGTCGAAAATAAAGGACATTTTCTACTAAGTAATTCTACAAAACCTGCCCTAGCTTGGTCGGCCGAAAGTTGGCCCAATTTTTGCCACGCCACCCTCCTATCTCTACCAACAACATCTAAGGTCCCCAAGGGGGGTAATTTATGTACTGCGTCAGCGTAGGGGCCGTGAAGTACTTGTTGGGAGAATGCTACTAATTGTAATTTGTCTTCATAGCTAAAGTGTACTGCTTTACCTTCTTTTTCTAAGGAATAAACAGAATGTTTATGTGGAACTAAGATATCTCAAATATTTAAATTTACCTTTATAAAAGTTAAAACCTAATTTATACACTTCTTTTAGGGGCAGACCATATTCTGCTGTTTCTAGTATGGCAGTACTTTTATTGCTTATTACAGTATTTCCATTTTCTAACGCTAATTTGTTAAAATTATCAGAAATTTGGGAACTGTCACTTTCGGTAGCCATAGCGAAGTGGTGACGTTTATTATTGTCTTCTTCGATTCTTGACGGTGCTTTTATTTTTATTCTGTCAAAAATTAATTTTTCCTGCTATGATTTTTAAATTTTTACCAAAACATTGTAGACTTCTATGCACTTTTGTCTTATTTGCATTAATACAATTATATTCAAAACAAATTTTACTGATTATTGTACAAATATAAAATGCAATTTTTAAATACTTTTTAAACACAGATAAATTAAACAAGAATTAAACCATAGAAGATGGAGGCCATTCATAAAAGTGACAGTGACACGACACGATAAGTTAGGTTAGGTATTTAAATCTCAAAATATTTTTCTCATTGTTGTTCTCATATAAACAAAAATAAATGGTGAGATAATAAATTTTATATTGAAAGATACATATTATTTCAAATATTTATTATGGTATTAACTGTTCATTATTTCTAGGGCAAATCAAAGAAATCTAAAAAATCTAAGAGGTATTCCAGCTCTGATTCTGAAGATGAATGGGTAGAGAAAGAAGTTGTAGAATCGAAAAAGAAACAATCCAAGCACAAAAATAAAAAGAGTAGATATAGCTCCTCGTCAGATTCACAGTCTAGCTCGGATGAAATATATAAGAAAAAGAAGAGCAAAAAGAATAAAAATTATGAATATAGTTCCAGTAGTGATTCTTCTGATGAAGATTCTAGTACTAAATATAAAAGAAGTTCATATAGGTCTAGATCTAGAAGTCCCCCTTATAAGCCCAATAAGGAAAGTCAAGAAAGTAAGTTACAAAAACAAGAATCCATTGTACAGAGAGAAGAATGGATGAACATTCAAACTAAATTTTTAACATCATCTAATTCTGATCGAAAAAAGGAAAGAGATGAGCAAAAGAGGTTAGAAAGGGAAAAACAGCAGTATGATCCTAGGAACTGTGATAGGGAACTGAATCCCTACTGGAAACATGGCGGAGATGGTTTACCAGGTTTTAAAAAACCAGTACTTTCAGATGATGAAGATTCAGATATAAGGCACAGATCATCAGGTTACAGGTCTCAGTTGCCAAGTACTGGAAGTTCTAGTTGGAGAAAAAAGCAAGAAAGTGATAGTAAATCCACTAGGTATGTTAAAAGTGACCAGTGTATGGTACAACTGATAATATTATTTTTAATTTATTTTACAGACCATCCAGTAGTACATCTAATTGGAAGAAAAAGAAAGATGCTGAAGAATCAAAAACAAATAACACTGTAAATCCTTCAGGCATTGTTACAGACAATACAGAAATTCCAGAAACAGTTGAGTACACAGAAAAAGATTTGAATGCTCTAGCAGCAAAATTAGTTAAAGCTGAAATAATGGGAAATGAGAAACAAATTACAGAACTGAAGGAAAAGTTAGAACAAGCAAGAAAGTCAGTGCAACAAAAGGCAGCAGGAGATGAAGAAGTTTTACTTACACAAACTGATTCTAGAGGCCAATCCAAGCCTTTGAGATTGCAATCAGAATATGGAGAGTCCAGTAATTCTAGAAAGAAAAAGAAAACTGAAACGCATAGGGACAATCAAAGAGTAAGATATTTTGCAGATGATGACAAATACTCATTAAAAGAAATGTTTGAAAATGAAAAATATCAAGCTGGAGCTGATCAAGACAAAGAGTTCATCAAAGCTTACAGTAAAATTAAAAAGAATGATGATTTAGATGATATATTTTCAGATAATATCAGAGAAAAACACTCTGATTCAAAGACTGATGAGAAAAATAGGAGTAAGGCTATACAAGATCATAAAAAAGTGTCCAAGAGTTTAGACAACTGTGATAGATGTATTCAGTCAGAGTCTATGCTGAAGCATTTAATGGTATCCATGGGAGACACTCTATATCTGGCTCTGCCATCATTTGAACCATTAACAGAAGGTCATTGCCTTATAGTTCCAATAAGGCATACTCCATGTGCTACTCAGTTAGATGAAAATGAATGGTTAGATATCCTTGATGTAAGGAAAGCTCTTGTAAGACTTTTTAAAGAACAAGATGAAGATGTTATATTTTTTGAATCTGCTAAAGGTTTACATAGATTTCCTCATATGGTAATAGAGTGTATACCAGTACCAAAAGAAGAGGGTGACTTGGCTCCAATTTACTTCAAGAAAGCCATTGATGAATCAGAAATAGAGTGGGCTCAAAACAAGAAATTGGTGTCACTAAAGGGTAGGGATGTAAGGAAAGCTATTCCAAAAGGTTTGTCCTATTTTTCAGTCTCTTTTGGCATGGAAGAAGGTTTTGCTCATGTTATTGAAGATGAACAACTATTTCCTAATAATTTTGCACAGGAAATTATTGGGGGAATGCTGGATTTACACCATAGCAAGTGGAGGAAACCTAAAAGCCAAAAATTTGAAGAACAAAGTAAGAGAGTCATGGAATTTTCCAAGAAATGGAGGGACTTTGATTGCTTGGTGAATTATTGATTAAAACAAATAGAAGCTGGGTTTGCTGCAGTTTGATTTAAAAACCTGTAGGGGATGAATATGAGATTTTTGTATATACTTCCTTCACCATATGTGAATTTTAGTTCTGTTGTGTTCTTTTCTTCTAGTTGTGAGGAAGAAAAGAACACAACAGAACTAAAATGGATTCTTCAATGGACATTTTAGTGTATTTATTCCATTTTTCATTTGTTTCTTAAATCAGTATTTTTGTGGTCAGTTTGTCTCAAGTTGGAGTTTATTCTTCACACATGTTTTATGCATAACTGCCTATAATTTGTCCCTTTCTAATATATTATTACCTATTTTCCAGCTTCTCTGCCTATTAAATGTTTTAAATGCCTCTATTTTACTGCTGCTATTTCTTTATTTAGTCAAGAAAGCCATTAATGAATCAGAAATATCTAGGCACAAAACAAGAAATGGTGTCACTAAAGAGCAGAGATGTAAGAAAAGCTATACTTAAAGGTTTGTCCTTTGGACTTTTCAGATTATTTTGGCATGGAAGTTTTTTCCCATGGCTTTGAAAAAAAAATATACTTGCAGGCAACAACCACTGTCAAATTACATACTAACAGTAATCGCATAAAAATAGAACGGGGGGTTAGACAAGGAGACCCAATGTCACCTAAACTTTTTAATACAGTGCTAGAACATGCTTTTAAGAATTTGGATTGGATGACAAAGGGAATAAAAATAGATGGAGAATATCTAAACAACTTATGTTTCGCCGATGATATACTTATAATAGCTGAAGATCTAGGTATGGCAAGAGAGATGGTACAGGAACTCGTTGTGGCTACAGAAAATGTAGGTTTAAATATAAATATCTCGAAAACAAAAATCATGACCAATTTGGTGCCCAACCAGAACATCAGTATTGGTGGGAAAGAAATAGAACTAGTAGATAGATATAAATACCTGGGACATGAAATTATGATTGGCAGAGATAACCAGACTCATGAACTGAAGAGAAGAGTGGGCCTTGGGTGGGCAGCATTTGGAAAACTGAGAGAAACTTTTAAAAGTGAGCTGCCCACATGCCTAAAGAGAAAGGTATTTGATCAGTGCGTCCTCTCAGTCTTGACGTACGGAGCAGAAACACTTACCTTAACAAAAGCAGCAGCTACCAAACTGAGAGTCACACAGAGAAGAATGGAGCGGTCCATGTTAGGAATAACTCTCCGAGAACGAATAACAAACGAAGACATCAGGAGAAGAACTGGAGTGACTGACATCATCGAGAAGATAGCCAGACTAAAATGGAGATGGGCAGGACACATAGCCAGAATGACAGATGGGCGATGGACAAAGAGGTTATTGGAATGGAGGCCAAGGGAAGACAAGAGAAGCGTCGGTCGACCACCTACAAGATGGACTGACGATTTAAGAAGACTCAATAAAAACTGGATAAGAGCGGCGCAAGATAGACGGGTTGGAAACATGAGGAAGAGGCCTATGTTCAGCAGTGGACTCTTGAGGCTGGATGATGATTTGAAAATGAATTACTTACTATTTTCTAATAATTCTGTTTAGGAAATCATCAGAAGCATGCTTGATTTACACCATAGCAAGCGGAGAAAAACTGAAAGCTAAAAATTTGAATAACAAAGTGATGGAATTTTTCAAGTAATTGAAGGATTTTGATTACTTGGTGAAATATTGACTTGTATTGATATACATCAGCTCAAACAGGCTCCAGAGGCCAAAGCTTTAATGGTTATCTTTCATTTCTTCCTATCTTATGCTAGATTTCACCAATTTTATACTCCTAACTTTTCTCTCCATTTTCTTCGTGGTCATCCTCTTTTCCTTTTTGGGTCAGCTTCAGTATTTATTAATTATTTGTGGACTCATCCTTTCTGCATTCTAGCTATGTGTCCGGACCATCTTAGTCTGTGAACTTTGCAATGTTTGAAATCTTTGTTGTCCTTATATTTGCATTTATTTTGTTCTTCTCCAGATATGCCCATCTTTTATTACCTCCATATATTCTTCTATCTAGCTTCAGTTGTATGGTTTTGCTTAAGATCCAGGTCTCACTAGCATAAAGCACCATTGGTTGGATATCTGTTGTATATATTCTTCTTTTTGCTCCTCTGCATATTTTCTTTGATCCCAGCATCTTATTTAGATTTCCAGCACTTTTACTACCTTCAGCTATTCTTTTTTTTGTCCAGTCTCTTCATTTTTCTATTTGTTGAATGTTACTTCCAAATAGTCTGTCCAACTATCTCAAAGTTATATTCCTTGTCTAGGGTAGATACTTTCCAAAACTGTCCTAAATCTTCATTATTTCCCCTTATCTCCATATACTTTGTTTTCTTCGTCATTTTCTTCAAGCCCATACTCCATCACAAGTCTTTTAAAAATTTCTCTTAATTCTGTTGATCTTGTTATTAGGGTAAGGTATTCTACATATGCTATGCATTGATGTGTTTGGTGGGGGATTGAGTCTTTAGTGTGTATATTACTTTCCCTTAAAATTGTTTCCAGTATTAGATTAGAAAGTACAGTAGACCAGGGGTCACCTTGTAGCAGGCCTCTAGTGATGTGAAAGCTGTAGGAGACATGACCTTTTACCATAGCTTTACTTTTGGTTTCATTCAGAAAGGATTTAGTTAATCATATTACTTTATCCAAAAAGTTAAAACATTTTAATGTGTCATCATTTTATGTCTGTTTATTGTGTCATATGTTTGTTGAAAATCAATGAAAAATATAATTAGTAACAGATTGAATTCATATGAACTAGCCAGGATTGGTTCAATTGCAAAAATTGGTCTATTGTTGATCTGTTTGCTCTAAAACCAGCTTGATATTCACCTAGGTTTTCCTCAACATTGGCATTAATTCTATGTCTGATCTATGTAGCTAGAACTTTATATGTTGTGTCTTGTAATGCTATACTCCTTTAGTTTTTACATTTCCTTTTTGTGTATTGGGCATAGCAGGGCTTCTTTCCAGTGTTTTGGTATTTGCTCTTTGGTATATATATATACTTCACATATTAACTCTGATTTCTTCCTGTAGGCTTTAGCCAACTTTTTTAGGAACTCTGGTGTGATGCCATTTTCACCTGGTGCTTTATTATTTTTTAAACTCTTTATTATGTCTATTATTTCTCCTTTTGTTGGTATTTTTTAATTGTTATTCCAGTTTATTGTTTCTTTTAGTGGCTCTGCTGTATCTGAAGATATTGTTTTTCATCAGTGTTTAATACACTTTGTGTATTAAACACTGATGCACCTGGTGTGCCACTTGTGGCTGATCTGCCAAGGTTTTCATCTATTTATTTTAGTAAATGGTTGTCCTTATCTTTATAATATTTCGGTGGGGTTTTATATTGACTTCATTCTTTTTATTAAATTTTTCTTCCAGGTATAACCTTTTCTTTGTTCTGCATATTTTCTTTGCCTTCGTTCTCTTTTCAGCATGTAGTTTTCTATTGGTCAAATTAGTCTTCCTTATGCTATTGATTGAATGAATGTTAAATTTTTTAAATGTACTTCCTTTACCCATCTGTTTATTTCAATTATGTTCTGTACTTTTCTTCCAGGTATGGTTTTTCTTCATTCAATGGATTTATTTTAGTATATCTATCCATTCTTTATTTGTTTCTTCTTAAATAAGTATTTTTGTGGCCTGTTTCATCCCATATCATTCATAACATTTTTTATCCATAACTGCCTATACTTTGCCACCTTCTTTATTCCCTTTTTTCTAGCTTCCCTATTTATTCAATGTCTTCTCTTGCTACTACCACTGTTTCTTTTTCTAATAAAATATTTTCAATTTTTATTAATGAGTAAATTGTCTTGTCATATTAGCAGTTAATTACAGAATAGTGACGTTATATGACCACATGGAAACACTACTGCCTATTTTGTTCGTGATTAATAATAAATGGCACACTTCCCAAAGTTTATATAAGTTTCGTTTCATTTTTACAAAAAATAAAGAAAATAGTATAAAACAAATTAATTGCTTGTTTATTTAATTATGATTTTTATATAAAACAAAATCCTAAATGTAAGAATTAAATACACCTATTAGACAATCATTTCAAGTTCCTTGGCATACTCTACAGCCTGTTGTGCTAGTTCTTGTGAGGGTATGGGTTCATGGGTCTTCTCTTCAGGAAGAAAGTGGAAAAAATCATTGTTGAGTTTCCAAGGTTTGAGCTGGAAAGCCTGCAATACAAAAAACAAATAAGATTTTAAAATAACTATAATATCAACACAATTTTACACACCTTTTTGGCAAATGTTTTAGCAGCTTCTTCATTTGGCAGGTACAACATTCTGGCTACATCTTTTACTGAGATCTTTTCATATGCTACTGACAAACAGTCTGCAATTTCTTCTCTTATGGTGTCCAATAAAATATCCATAAAAAAGTTGTAATTCTTAGCAGGTACATTACCTTTAGCCAGAAAGATCTGAAATGAATAAGGAGTTTGTTAAATTTTTGTAAAAATGTGGACATCCCATAAATAAATAAAGACATGATCTAAAATATATTTAAAAAGTTTATCTGTGGATAATAAAATGTCATTTTCTCTTATTTCTTTTGCCTGGTGTCCTCCCTGTTAGTTATGAGGAACATTATATTTATAAGAATAGAAAGGTCTAATTACTAGCATTTTGTTCAATTAAAGGTATATATACTTTAATTTTTTAATACTTACTTTATTATAACTTCCTTCCATTAAGTATTGTTCAATAGACAAAGGATGCCTGATGTACACATCATTCTGAATGTGATCTGCAGGTAGAAGTTCCAATTCAGTATGAAATTCTGCCACTCGGTTTTGTGACAGTAGGAATAATAAGTTTAATCCAAGCAGTTGATACTTAAATGGCGATTCTGGTAATTGGTTGTTATAATCAAAGTAATAACATTTTAATTGTGCCATGTATCTTTCAAAAGATGTAATATCATTGGCGGCTATACTCCATTGGACTCCTATCTCTAGAACATCTCTGGCTAGAAGTAGTTCTTGTTTGGATGCAGTAGATGTGGTAATTGGCAGGAACATTAGATTGGTGAGCTCAAGCTGGAAATATAGACATCGGTATAATTTAAGAACCTAATTTGATATATAGGGTTTATTAAAGAAGCAATGTAATTATAAATTGTTTCAGCATGTTACCTTAAGAGTTGACAGTAAATTTTCACATTTACTTAAATTTGGATTGTTAGTATTCCATTCGGATTTTAATTGCTTGTACAAATTAGCGACTTCATTTACTTTGGCCATTTCTTATTTAACTGACTCAATCTTCTGGATTTTAGCTACAAATATTCATATAAACTTCTTCGACAAATTACAATAGTAACAAATGCAATGAGTTGAATATTTGTGACAGCTGTCAGTCTGTCGATGTACGTCATAATAAAAAAAATGCAAATGAACTACCTCAAGCTTGATTAATTGAAGCTACGGTATTGCATCATTAGTATCATAGTGTGTATTTTACCATAACTACTCCATTTTTGGTGTTTAATAAAATAATTAAGCAATATATATGTTGTACATCAATTGTGTATGCATACGTGAATAACGAATTGGACAAGACCATGATTTAACTAATTTGTAGATAAAAGCAGGTATGACTGGCGGAAAATGTCATATTTTATATAAAAAAAAACTTAACTTTAATAACTATAAGACAAAAATTTTACCGAAATAAAATGTTTAACCCATTATGCCGTAGGTGTGGGGTATTAGTTATTAATAGTTCCCTTTTAATATCGCCATCTACTGTGTGCTAGATGTATGAATATTCTAGAATATTCACAGAAAACATTGCGCAGTCGTTTGCGTTCATTGATTCGATTTTAGACGGAGAACGTGACGACTCACATGTGTTTGTTATTGGAAATCACAAGGCAGAGTTTCCCCTCCCTGAAGTAACTACCAATCAGCGTTCACGTAGTAAGTTTCCGATGACATAAAACAGTCTCGTACGCACAGGAAATCTTCATTCTAGAATTGTTGTTGTTGGCATAACAAGTTGTTTAAGAAAGTGACGTTTCGGTGTTTTGAAATTTGAAAGTGATAATAAAATAATTGATCAAAAATGGCTTTTATGATGCCAGTAGTGAAAAACGATTGGGATATTTACAAAGCCAATCGTTCTCGAAGAGTTTCCGAATGTGCGAATCCAACGTCGTGTCGTTCGAGAAAAGTGTCTGAGTGTAAATCAGAAGGACCAAGTCTGTCGACTTCTCCTGGATCGGAATTTGTAACATCCCCGATCCGTAGTTCTGTGCCCAGCAATATGTCATCCAGACAGTACTCCAGAGCAAGTTCCAGAACTAGTGAAAGCAGCCTTCCCAGCCCCGTAAGGAATATGAGCATAGGGTCATCGCCCCCGAAGAACGACTCAGAACCGACCTTGAACAAGTTCCACAACAGACTTCTGGACAAATTGAAGAAGTCCTTGAGGAGTGGGTCAGAGAGCGAAAAAACCAGTTCATGAGACGCGGAAAAGGAAGGGTCGCCCTCAAAAGGCGACGGGAAAAGACTGTAGAGGTGATTTTTTGTTTACCTAACCGGGCCATCGAGCTACGTATGTTCAGGTATAGCAACTGATCTGTTGTCCTGTGATATGTAGTGAATATAGTAGCTTTAATGAATTGTTTAAGTTTGCTGCTCGGTTAGTATATTGTTATATTTATTCGATTTTTTCACAGTATAATAGCGTTGAAAAAAGCATAAGGATTTATAACACCATATAATAATCTGTATTTTTTAACCTGTACTGTAATGCGATTTTGAGAACTTATTGTTCTCGTAGAATAGGTAATTAGATTTATTAATGACAAGACTGCAGAGAAATTTATACATAAGTAATTATAATATTCCTCAAAACTAAAAGGAATCAATTATTTTTTAATTTGCTATCCAAAATCAAAATTATTTTGTTTATATTTTCTATTTTAGAGTTGTGGATTCTTAATTGCCGTTAAAAATTAGATAAAATCCTTGAATATCAGTAATTATATCTTAACATTTCTTTAGTGATATTGCAAAAGTTAGATCAGAATTGTTGATAAAATTTGATTCTTTTTATTTGATAAATCTTTTTTAACATTATTTAAGTTTGCAACAACCTAGATTGTCTGTTTATAATATAAAGCCGTGTTAGAAACAAAAAAATATGTACAATATGTGGAGTAACTTTGAGAAAACTTATTATATATCCAAATTAAGACTAGTTTGATATACTAACTGTTGCAAAATCACTACAGATGTATTGGTGAAAGTTTCTACTTAAGTTTTCTTTTTTTAATTGATGTTAAAAGTTATGTAAAACAAATAATTACATAAATAAGAATTCCTTTTTTCTTGAGGATCAAAAAGCAAATATATATTTATTATAAGAAATGAATACTTCGCTTATTATTGTTATACTCTATATATAGCTATAATTGGGAATATATGTGTCTTCAGAGGGATAAAGTATATATTTTTAGTGAAGAAAGAAGCTTGGGGTACTTCCAGACAATAATCGAGTACCTATCACTAAAAAACCACTGCCCTCTTACATAAGTGCTCAGAAAGAATATTTCTTGGTTTAATTCTTCTTCTATAAGTAGTTTGAAATGTTAGTGATTTGATTTAGTTTCGAATTTTTAGTAGTAAGAAATATTTTTTCTATGTGTTTGATAGTAACATTCCAAAACCAAGTTCTAAATTGTATAAACGAAAATTGTCTAACGAATTCTTGTACAATAATTAGCTAAAATGTTGATGGTTATTACAGTTTTTGTGTAATTGTAAATGGGTTGGAGAAAAATTTAAATTTCGTAGATATTGTCTCATCTAACTTCGATTTATAGATAATTAAAAACCAAATAAAATTTATTTAATGCATCTTGATTTTTTATTTATACATTTTATCCTAATACAGTTCTGAAGTTATTTTCTTGTGGCATCTTAATATAATTACCATTTTTGTTCGGAATAAGCTACAGTTTAAATTTAAAATAATTTTTTTTTTCTCGAAAAAAAAAAAAAAAATAGAAACTTCAAAAATAAACTTAACTTGTGTGGCTTATTTCCAACAAAAATAGTAATTACATTTTATCCTATAAGTAAAGTAAGTAAAACTTGGAGGAGTAAAGGATCCCGAATATGATCAATAAAATAGCTACTAAAACTAATCCAAAAAAATAACAAAACAGAATTCCTCAATAATGGAGATCAAGCATCCTAACACCTCTCTCCAAAAAGGAAGACACATCGGACCCGGAAAATTACAGAGGAATTAATTCATTAAACACAACACTAAAATTAACAACCAAAGTGATAACAAATAAACTGAATGAAATTATAACACTAGCAGACAAACAACAAGATTTTAAGTCGGTAAGATCATGCACCGACGCTATATTTATAATGAGGCAAGTGCAAGAGAAATCATAAGAATACAAAAAACCTGCATATCTATGTTTCGTGGACCTTAAGAAGGCATTTGACCAGGTAAAATTAAAGTACGTTATCCACTTATTGTACGCAAGAGAGATAACTTTAGGAATAATCAAAACGATCGAAAATATCTACCAAAACAACACACTGAAAGTAGAAGAAGAATTAACTGACCCTATTGAAGCTGGTAATGGGATAATACATGGAGATTCCCTGAGTCCTCTATTGTTCAACCTGATTATGGATAAAATAATAAAAAAGTAGGAACTAAAAAAGGGTACCAAATGGGAGAAAAACAACTTCAAATAATCTGCTATGCAGACGACGCAATACTATTCTCTCAAAGTGAAGATGATTTACAACATATGCTGCACCTTAGTATAACAGCCAGAAAATTTAACATGTTAATTTCTCAAAAAAAAACAAAATGCATGGTTATAACATTAAATTTACTAAGATGTAAATTGGAGCTGGAAGGTCAGAAAATAGTATGAGTGATGAAGTCTAAATATCTAGGCATCACATTATCTAGCCACGGAAAGCTCGAAACGAAAGTGGAAGATCAAATAAATAGATCAAACAGAGCCGCAGGTTGCCTGAATGACACAATATGGAGAAATAAAAATATCGGGAAAGAAATGAAAGGCAGAATTTACAAAACAGTTATCAGACCAATAAAGACATAGGCGGTAGAAACACAACCTGACACAGAGAGGACAAAAATAATGTTAGAAACAGCAGAGATGAAAACACTAACTTGAAAAATTTGTGGTAAAACACTATGGGACAGAGCTAGAAGTACAGATATATGACGTCGATGCAAGGTGGAGAACATCAAGGACTGGGTAATAAATAGAAGAGTAGAATGGAACGATCATGTCAGCCGAATGACAACAAATACAGTAGTAAAGACGATAAGAGACGGTCCCCAATAGGAAGACGATCAGTAGGAAGACCACGAAAACGATCGAACGACAACTTACTGGAGATACATTGAAAAAAAGACAGAGTCATGTCTACATAAAAAGAAGAAGATGAAGAAATAATCCCTAATTAGCTTCATTTCTTATTAGATTTCTTCTTGTCAAGCCTTCAACATTTGACGTTCTTCATGATCACTATTTGCTGTACCACATATTGCTTGGAATTGTATGTATTTTGTCGTCTGTTATTAAAGCATGCATAGCTTGTCACATTCTGAGTAGTTAAAATATTTTGTCTATTATTTTTGCCAGAACGAGATCATCAATCTTTACTGCTAAACATATATCTACCTCATACTTTTCGGTGTACCTTGGATCCGGTTTATTCGGTAACGTTTTAGGTCGTCAGTCTAGATAGACGGTCTATCTTTGTGTACGCCTAATCTCTGCCTCTACTCCACAATCGTCTTCGTCTATCTGTTGTTTACTTCTGATTTTTTGTCCGTATCTTTTGATACTGATAACCCAGATGTATTGAAGGTTCTCCCTACCGCATCATCCTTTGTGTCCACTGCTGAATACAAAGAATCTTCAGTCTTCTCCATCCCTCTTGATCCTGACCCGTTCTTAACCAGCTGTTAGCAGTTCTATTAATGCCATCAGCTTAGCGCGTTAATTCTATTGTCGTTTTCTACTTCGTTTATCAGTTCTTGGTCTCCATTCCAACAGCTTCTGTGTCACCTCTTTTATACATGCGTAACTGGTGATATGTCCTATTCACATCCATTTCATTGCTGCTATGCCCGATATTTCATTAGTGACATTAGTCCTTTAACGTAGTTCCTTGTTTTGTACTCTACATCTGAGAGGGTTATCTTTAACATTGGTCTGTCCATCTGAATTTGTGTAAGTCTCATTTTGTTAGAGGTTACTAACGTACCTAAGTATTCAAATTTGTGCTTCATATGAGAAACCAGGAAACACACTGACCGAATACTTTTCTCTTCAAACACATGGACGCCCTTAAACACGTCCTTTAATACTCCATATACTGCTAAAGATAGATTCTTATCATATTCCAAGTCTAGTACAATATATTTGCATTTTAGGCCAATTCAAGGATCATATTTTCCACGAAACGAATATGAATTTACTTTTCTTGATTAACCGTTATACCTTTGCTATTTTAAATGAGCTTTTAAATGCTTATTAAAGAACTAGATGGAAATGAGATCGAAAATGTTGAATAGTATATATACCTAGGTTACACTATCAAACTAGGTAAACAGAATCAAACGGCAGAGATAACTAGAAGAATCTGAATGACTTGGGGAGCAGTAGTCTTGTGTTGAAAAAAAAATACCAAAACTTTAAACAAAGTATTCAACAGTTGTATTCTACCAGTGACCTATGGAATGCAGACCTTAACACTTACAAAGCTATTAGCCAAGAGATTAAGAACAACACAGAGGACCATCGAATGAGCTATGTTGGGAGTTCTCTGAGAGAACGTAAACGAAATGAGGGCGTGTGAAGCAGGATGAAAGTGAAAGATGTAATTGTAAGAATTGCGCAAATAAAATACAGCTGGGTAGGACACATGGCACGACAAAATAACGAAAGATGTCAGTTGTAGTAGAGGAAAACCACAAAAACGGTGGCTATAAGGATCTAGATCATCTTATAGCTATAAGATGGCTTATAGATGACATCAAAGCAAAAGTGGGGAGAAACTGGCACCAAATAACACTAAATAGAGAGGAGTGGAGAACTCATGGGGAGGGCTTTGCCCAGGAGTAGATCCAAACAGGCTGAACAATAATAAAAAACAGTTATAAAACGTTTTGGAGATAATGTATCATTCTGTCTGACACACTCCAGTTTCAGATATTTGTAAAATATATGTTTCTCATGTTATTGAGGTTTGTTCCTGTATTTTCTATTTGAATTTATTATTATTATTGTGTTAAGATAGTAGTTGTTTTTCACTTATTCTAGAGTGGACTCTTGTTCTGAGAATCCCCAAGATTGCATGGACATCGCATACCTCAAACAAAGAAGTGCTGCATAGAATAGCAAACAACAAGAACTTTTCAATACAGTGAAATTTAGAAAAACATCATACCTAGGCCACATACTGAAAAATAATAAGTTTATTGCTCAACTAATAGTGAACGAAAAGATTGAGGGAAAGAGAGGACTACAAAGGAAAAGACTATCGTAGCTAAGAACATCCGAAAATGGTCAGGGCTAAATTTTGAACAGCCAATAAGAATAGCTAGTAACAGATAAGAGTTTGCATTGCAGTTGTAGCATTCAACCTCAATTGAAGAGAGAACACTTTAAGAAAAAAGAGGACCATTAATTATCAGGCTGCTTTCTTGATAGTTCCTTTTATTCTCGATAGCAAATCAATTATCTTTTTAATCAGTCATTGTTAATCGGTGTTCCATTGACTTTTATTTCAGCAGTTTATCCATCGAGAGCTGCTTTCATGATTTCTTCATATTATTTGTTGAACAGTAATGGCGAAAATATACAACCCTGTCGTAACCCTTTTTTAATTGATTTGTTTTGCTTTGAGAACATCTATTAGCTGTTGTAATCTATGAACCAGACATGGTTTCGGAAGCCGTTTGTTTTTATAATCGGTCGTAGTTCAATCAATTTGATTATTGCGCATCTTTCATTCGTGTAGCCTTTAGGCTAAAGTTTTTGCCTTTTGTGCGTCTTTGTAAAATTATAGGCATCACTCTGTACTGCATAGATAAGTTTCCTTTTAAGTATATAATGAGGTTATTGTGCTGTAACAAAATCGAAATAAACAGCCACATTTGGCAAAGAAAAATATTTTTCATCAAGATAATGCCTCTTTTTTTTAACATCAAGTTGCAATTATATTCTGTAATCCAAGATATCTTGGCAAAAAGACAGGAGTGTAAATAATTTAATATTTTATCTCGTTGGCACGGAAAATGCTAGAGCCAGCGCTGAATCATCCAATTATTTCACTGTATAGTTATGAAAGGAGTAATGGAAATGTACAAGTGCTAATGAGTGTGGTGTGAGTAATCAGCTTTAGCACCTTATCAAACTAATTTACATTATACAACGATGATATTTTTTAAATGAAATGACTGAGGTAATTATGTACGTGGAATAATAATTGATGGGCTATGTAGAAATATTTTGCTTTGAGTAATTAAGTATTCATCCTATTAATTATTGTGCAATAATTTTTACGAATTTTATATTTTTTCAAAAACGAACCTTACTACGAATTATGTATCTATCCATAGTGTAAGTTGTTTTCACATATAAAAAAGGTACAAATTTTTAGGAAAACAAGTGAACATATTTTTAAACATTCGAGTTATTATTAAATGGTCTTTTTTCTTTTTAGCTTGTCCTTATGCTCTATAAAAGCACTCAGAGCTACTGATAGTTTTCTTTGATAAATTCCTTCCATTTTTCGGTTCTTTGGTAAATGTTTCATATTTTCATTCATTTTTTCTCATTACT